CAGTATTCATTAAAATTCTTAATATTTCAATTAAAATGAAGTTTGTATATTTACCTATTTCACATAATTTTCCTTCATCAGGGAAACGGCATAAATATTGAGCTCCATTACTATGGACAACGCACTTCCCGCCATTTCTGCAAGAAACATTTCTACATAGATCTCTATCTGAAAAAAAAACACTTGTGCATTCATAATTTTCGAAATATTAAACATTATAACAATGATCATTAAACTTTATTTCAAGGAACCGTAAATGAAAGAAAAAAATTATCTGAACTCCTTAAGATGCCTTTTTTATAATACCGCTTTTCTTTTAAACCGATAAGAGCAGAGAGAAATCTATTATTCAGTCAAAACCTTATATCTTTAAACGAGGGTATATATTTACCTATTTCACATAACTTTCCTTCATCAGGGAAACGGCATAAACATCGAGCTCTCTTGTTACCGGCAACACACTTTCCGCCATTTCTGCAAAAAATATTTGAACATGGATCTGAAAAGATAACAATGAAACACTTTATATTTAAAATGTTTTAAATTATAACAATGAACATTAACTTTAATCCAAGGACCTAACATATTCTTATGTACGAAGAAAAAAACGAAAGCTTGTTTAATGCATTTTATTTATTTATTTATTTGAAAGAAGGAAAAAAAAGAAGGTAAACTCTTTATAATATTAGACATTTTTTAGATTAAATACTTTTATTAATATTCAATAGGTCAATATTTTAAAAATCGTTGAGACAAAAACAAAAGAAGAGTTGTTCTTATCCAAAGGAATTATTATTCGGTTTTTAATTGTTCGGTTTTTAACTGTTCCTCAGATTCGTTTCGAAATATTTAGTTGCGTTATACGTATAATTTCTGAATTTTTTTTCCCCTAACAAGACGTAGAAACAGATAATTGTGAAACTTGAAAATCCGTTAGTTTTTTACAAAATAAAGATTTTGCCAAAAATTTTTAAAATGTGACTCTTTATTATACTGCCAAATTTAATAAAAAGAAACAACTCTTCTATTTATTCTTCGTAAAAAATTCATAATACTAGCAATAATTTCAGCACATTAGAGGATTTGACTACCACGGTTTAACAACACTGGCGTTCTTAAACTAAACTTAGTGTAATGTTTTTAAAGAAAGTGAGTATTAAAAATGAAATATTTTATTAGCTTTAAGTACTCACTTAAAACCTTTTTTTTTGGTTAAAAAAAATTGCCTATGCATTTTAAATATTTTATAGATCATTACAACTACTGTTATCTATGATGGAGTTAGTATTAATCATATTTTTTCATAGCGGTGTATTTTCTTTATTATTATTCGGTGTATTTTCTGTAAACATAAACTTGAGGTCTGAAGTATAAGGTATATGATCTGATTTCTAAGCCAATAAGAAACAAGAAAGAAAGAACTCTTATATTCAGTTTAAATCATATAAGCTTGTATAACAAGAGCTTCATGTATTTACCTATTTCACAAAGTTTGCCCTCGTAAGAGAAGCGGCATAAACACTGAGCACCATTTTTACTGTTTCTGCCCCATCCGCCATTTCTACAAGAAATATTTCTACATAGAAAAAAAAAAGAATTCTGTATCTGTATTTAAAATAAATGGAAAAAAAATGTTAATTCATTTTCTTTAAAATGATTAAAATTATAACATTGAACATCCAATCTTATTTCGAGGGTCCATGACATATCTCAGAGTTCAGAGTCTTCTTATCCAGTAGTCCCCAACCACCAAGCTGCAGACCGGTATCGGTCTATTTATTAAATGGTACCGAGCAACACAAGGAACAATTAAATTATTTCCATTTTATTTTCTTTGGTGAATTTCTCTTGGTTTTGTTTGACTTCTCATAAACGAGAATTTAAACTAGAGTTGAGGGGTAACAACAGATTGTAATTCTGATCAGAACGAAAGAGTGGTCAATCGCCAATTCTGTACTCCCAGAGGTATAATTTAGTTAAAATTATTAAGTGAAACAATCAACGCAACGGGCCAAAGTAAAGTTATCAAGCGTTTACTGGGCCGCAACGGTAAAAAGGTTTAGGAGCACTGATATATTTTATCAAGAGATTAATATAAATTGGTGCTCTCAAATGCATAAGCGCTTAGACTTTTTTTTCCGTCACAATATTTTTGATATCATAAAGAAATAAGGGGAAACTCTCACATTCAGTTTGAAACACTAGCTTCGATAACAATGGTTTGATATATTTACCTATTTCGCAAAATTTTCCCTCGTATGGAAAACGGCTTAAACATTGAGCACCAATTCTACTGACTATACACCTTACGCCATTTCTACAGGAAATATTTCTACATAGATCTAGAAAAATCATATTTGAACATTCATTATTTCAAAATGTTTTTCATTATAACGTTAAATATTAAATCTTATTCGAAGTAACAGTGACGTATTTATTTATGAAACTTAACTTCTGCATCTAATAACTTTTGTAATAAATTAACTATTAACTTTTTGCAAAAAATTGAAAACAAAATTAGATTTTCCTTCCTTGCATAAGACATAGTTTAGCTTCAATACTTTTTTTCAGTGTTCAATAAGTAATTATTTTATGAACTTTGAGAAAATATAGTTTAGTTAAAAAAATCTCATTTTTCAAAGTGAGATTTTTTTGATTCCTAACTCCAAACAGAGTCTTAGTTTTGTGTTCAGGCAGGTACAATATACTACGGGGAAATTTAAAAAAGACAACGCAAAGTTCTTCCGGGATTCCATACTTTCGAGAAATGTGGCTTGACAACTGTTTTCATTCTAAAGCTAATGCTATGAACGCTAGAACAGAAATTCAAAAAAGTAATAAAACAAAAAATTTTTCGAAAAAATATTTTTTTCAAAATATGTAGCTTACCGTACAAAGATGCCAAATATATAAAAATCTCAATTTTGAATCTTTTGTCGCTTTCGTTGATTCCGGAAAAAAAATCAAAGGCTAATATTTTATCCTGATCACATTCCATCGGCCATACGCCCCGCTCTTCAAGGACATGATGTTCCTGTGCCTTTTCCTACAACTGAATTGCCAGTCATCTCTTCAGACATGGAACATCCAGAAGTTCAAGGATCTCCGATATTGAATATAAGTCATTAGACACCGGTTCGCCTCAGCCCTTTTCTCACGTTGAACTAAATGATCTGACTAGAGATCTGGGCCCTTCGAAAGAGGCAGTTGAATAATGGTTAGTCTCCAGACTGAAGGAAAAAACTTATTGGCCAAGGGAACATCTTTTTATTGGTACAAGAATCAAGAAAAAGAACTTATTAAGTAATCTGATGAAAAGGAGAACTTTGTCTATTGTTCTGATGTTCCTGGATTGATGAGCAAATTTAAAGTTATCTACGATAAACATGAGTGGAGGCTGTTTATAGATTCATCTAACGGAAGCCTCAAAGCTGCCCTTCTTCGTCATGGGAGCCAGTATGCATCTGTACCAGTTAAACACTCGGTTAATATAAAAGAATGCTGCGAAGACCTGGTTCTAGTCTTGGACAAAATAAAATATATAGACCATTTGCAATGATATGAAAGTTATATCCATGCTTCTTGCTCAACATGGTGGATTTACAAAGTTCTCCTGTTTCATTTGTGTGTGTGACAGCCATGAAAAAACTCAACATCGGGTCAAAAAAGAATCGCCGAAAAGACAAAATCTTGACCCAGGCTTCAAGAATGTAATTCGAAACAGTTTAGTTGATCCAAAAAAAGTATTGTTACCGCCTCTAAATATAAAGTTAGGTGTAATGAAGCTGTTTGTCAAGGCTGTTCCAAAAGATGGTGATTGCTTCAAATAAATGTGGAAAAGTTTCTAGGTTTATCCCAAGCTAGGTTGATAGAGGTATTCTTTGTTGGTCCAAATATCCACAAACTCATTAAGGATAAAGATTTTGAGATCAACATGACAATAACGAAAACAGAACCTTGGGTTGACTTAAAAGATGTCGACAGTAAATTTTTGGTTTACTACAAGGATCCTGACTGTAAAGGATATTGAATGCAGGACAAATTTAACACTTTGGATTGCTCCATGAGTGTAAAAATGCATATCTTTCACTCGCGTGTGGACTTTTCCCTCGAAAATGTAGGAGCAGTCAGCGAAGAACAAGGTGAAATATTCCATCAAGATATCAAAGATATCTTGATGAAACATTTCACCTTAGCTTTAATATCAAGGAAGATGGGACAAGAACATGCCCACCCACTACTGTTAGATATTAAACTGAGATAGGTCTGAGATTAAACGTAGAAGAAGATAATTAAAAATAAGTATCAGGGGAAAACGAGTATATACTTATGTAGAAACTGTTTTCTTCTGTTTTGTTTTTTGTGTCAAGCTTTCATGTACACAAAGACAATATTTGCTATTCTTGGTCAATCGTCAATTTTGCGTAAGTTACCTGTAAATTAAAATGCTATGATGGTGATTTCCTTCTAGAAACTGATGTCAAAAGTTTAAACTCAAGGAACTTGTTTTTCTCTCGACCAGAGGTAACTTGTGCAATCTAGCAACAGTATTTTCCATTCATTTTAATCTATAAAAAATTAACCAGTAGCTCAAAAATTAGTTTACCTTCACAAGATTTAATTTTACATAGATTGAAATAAATAAAGATGACAGCTACTAAATAGTACATGCTCAAATGTTTGAGAAAATTCTTTTCCAAATAGAAATTTAGTGAAAACATCGATATCGATTTTACAAAACTTTCTGACGTGATGGTGGAAAATGAAGGTCATTTTCGAAATCAGGGCATCAAATAACATATAAATCAACAAAATCTGCTCTTGTATTTTTCAAAAACTTCAATTTGCAGGCTTGTGTAATTTGATTAGTATTCTAATTCAACTATTTAATTGCGATCCTTAGCCACTGCTGACTATTTTACTAATTACAAGCACTTTAGGTTTTCTAAATTGTTTCTTTTATGCGACATTTTAATGCCCATTTAATTATTTCAGAATTTTACAATGATGTCCAAAGATATTGAGATAAAAAGGAGAAAGAACAAAGTAAGGAAAGGAGGAAAAAACCAAATTGCTGCTGCTCTAAAATGTATAGGCTTTATACTGTGCGTTACAGGTTTCTCCTATCAAGTCTCCGAATTCATGGTGCGATTTTACAGTCATCCCACAGTTTTAAACATCGATATCAATGAAACACCAAAATTCGTAAGACCTGCCCTAACGTTCTGTAATCTGAATCCGTAAGTATGATTATACTTCTATTTTGCGGACCTATGTACTTATTATACCTAAGAAGGGTAAATGAGTAGAAGCTTAAATGCTTCTGCTGTGCGTAAAAATAAAGCTAAAAAAATTGCATTAGAAAACAATAATGCTAAATAGAATTATTGCTTTCCAATGTTTTTTTTCTTTTTTTTTTTGAAGCTGAATTCAATCTGTTCAAGGACGAGTCAACTAGACCAATAGTTACAATATGAAATTGTTGTCTTGTCAAGTGAGGAATTTTTTCCTGTGAATTACTTTAAGCTTCTTATAACGAACTCGAATTCGACTTGATGGGATAAAAAAGTTGGAACCAATATTTTTTATATGCATAAAAAAAGTATTTATTTTCTGCTTATTTTCTTAATGTCAGAAAAAAACTTATTCTGCTGATAATTTTTACAACTATACATAATTGAAGGGTAAGCAGCAATCAAAAATTTTAAAGTTATATATATACATATATCTGTAATAAAGACAAAAAAAGATTAAAGTAAAGAGACAAAACAAGGAAAATGATACAAAGATTTTAAAAAGGAGAATAAAAAAAAATTATTAAAAAATGTTTCTAAAATAACACATTCTTTTTTAAAATTCAAAAAAAAAAATGGAAAATAAATTAAAATAAGAAAATTATATACTACTTATTTTTTTCGGAAATAATTGTGTAAACTGATGATGAAATTATTTCTTTTTCTTATTTTCTTTTCTTTTTTTTTGTAATTTTGAGAAAAATCTTCAATTTGTGAATATTTCTTAATAACAGTTTTTGATATTTTTTTTCTTTTCTCTTCAAAGATCCCCTCAGGGGGTTTACCTTCTTTATGTAGACACTGGGAGTAACGCGCCCGAGGTACCCTAGTGATCTGTCCTCTCTTCGTTTTCCTCTCTTTTTTCCTACTTTTCCCTTTCTCTTCAACCTTGTCGTGGTTGCCTAATTTACTGGCGAAGATTTTTCGTTTATGTTCGCTTACCATCCTGTTGTAACGGACAAGACGGGAAGACACCACCCACGCGTTCGCCGTGCGTGGAGTCCCGTCTTCCTGGAATCAGGTTCCTAGGAGATCCAGGTACCCCAACACACTGTGCTTCAGATTAACGGGAGGTGCATATAGGGCTTTGTGCATCAAAAGGATAGTCACGAACATCATCTGTTGGTTAGGGTCAAGCACACTGTTACTACACTGGGAACCTCGATAAGGGGGAGACCGCTTCAGGGGTGACTACGGGCGTATAACTATTGGTCAGCTTCGGTGCAAGTAGCGTATTGATGTCAGAACCAATCTGTTACTTGCATCCCCTTTGTTGGTCTCCGTGGTGGGTGATGCCGCTCGTAGTCAAAGTGTTTGAAATTTTCTATGGTCAAATATGGAGAAAAGGTGTTTAGTTCCACACACCATAGCAAAACCAGCGCAACACCTTAGCACCGTGTGAATATGCTCGTTATTTAATATAGCATTGTTAAATTCCCTAGTTCCTATTACATGTGTTCTGCGTGTTTTACATGTGTTTGTATCTATTACATTGTACATATTACATGTGTCCTGGTGTTTTGTAAAACCCTGAACAGTACTTTGAAGTATCCATTTATCTATCTGAAGATAAAGAAAGCTTTCTAGATTGTCCTCTGGTAAATCAAGAGATCCTGTAAACCAACCAAACCACAACATAATCACCATAACACTTATTTCATGGAATTGTCGCAATAAATTTACTGATATCACAGATATAGTCGCTCGATATCAACCTACATGCATTTAATTCCAAGAAACACTCTCCTGGATCACTAACCCTAGAGATATTCACTTGTTATGGGGACATGGAGCACTTTGTAACCCGAAAGATTTAACATGCACCAGTCACCATTTACTACATGGGGAGTCGTCGGCCCGCTGGATTCGAACCCCCGTTCTCACATACGTGAGTTCAGCACTCTGCCTACCAGGCTGTCCCCTTCATTATCTGTGAAATGCATAATACATGAATTTTAGTAGCTTTCAGATTTGTAAATGATGATTTCTTTTATTATAGATTTCGCCGAAGCACATATTGTAATGAGAATCTCGTCAACTGTGAAAAGCCAGAAAATATTCAGCAGTTCTGTTCAGACAAGCCTCATTATTGCAGACAGAAGAAGAACATGTCTGACTTTCGGGTTGGTTAAAACTTTAATTATTTTCCCATACTTAAACTGAAGCATATTCCATAGTTTCTTTAAATAGAATAGATTAATTGAGTCTAATTTCTATCTTACTCGTGTAAGCTCCTTTGAATTTAAATGAATAAAAAAGATGGTTTTTTAAAAATTAAATGAAGAAATACAGAAAACGGAGCTTATATTACACATTAATGTGTCGAATTAATTAATCACATTAATGTGTCGAAAGTTAGAATAACCATTTTTCGGAGAGTGGCCCACTGCGAGACAAGAAAAGAGTTCTTGAAGACTTTCACTATGATGATGTGGTTCGCTGAATCCTGTGTCGTGGTCAGCTGCGCTACACTACGCGATAGAGCGAACTGCCCGATCAAGGTGTCTCCACTGATTCTCGATTTGGTTCGGTTTGCCTCGATTTGGAAGTCTGAAGAGTATGGTAGTCAAGAGAGACTGATAAATTTATCCTGGTGCAGACCTGCCAACCTTAGAAAGAAAAAAAGCGGGAGACTCTTTCTGTATCACGACATAGCGCAATATTGAAAACTAAACCTGAGTCACACTTCCTACAAGAAGTTAATTTCAAAATATATTGTTTACATTACATAAAATAGACCACAATAAGATTCTGACACTGACTAATAATTCTTACTATAAAATATAAGGTTCTATAGAATTATATTAAAACATATCTTTTGATTTTTTCAAATTTAGGAAGAAGTTCAAAACTAACAAAATATGTCAATAATGAATACAATACTTTATAAATGTATTTCTTAATTTTTTTTAATTGCTACTGTTTTAAAACTGCAGATGTTGCTGATTTAGCATTATTTAAAAAAAACTGGCATCTATAGAAAGTGAAAAAACATTTTGCCTAATGGTGTCCAAGATATCTTCGACTTTGCGATTTCATTGGTTATTGCTGCTGTTTTGGTTCACACTCACCGTAATTTTTAGTGATGTTGCTATGGGGCAAAATTTTTCTATATAAATGCCCAGCGTGATTTAAAGCAGTGGTGCGCAAACTTTTTTCAACTGCGACCCCTTTAGTAGAGAGAAAATTTTTGGCGACCCCTAGAGATAGATGTTCACAAATACGATGTATATTTCGCGCATTTCTTTCGTTTCATGGAATAAAAACATCATCATATTTGACTCATATTAATTTTATTTATAATTTTAAGAAAATACCTTTTGTATAACACAAAAATCAGTAAATTGCCCTTTAATGAGATGTATGTGGCTGCAAGTTTCTAATTATCTCATCGATGTTTGGATGTATATTGCTAATTGCAATTCGCATATCATCTTCAGGGTTTAAACGCGAGCGGTATTTAGTTTTTATTGAAACTAGTTTGCTAAATCCAGTTTCACATAAATACGTTGATGCAAATTGTATTAACACTCTGATGGCATTCTTGCATAAGACGGGATATTATTTTTCCACGGATAGCCAAAATTTTTGGCAAGGCTGTGTCTTAAATTGATTTCGAAGAGTATAATCACTAATTAGATCTATCAATTGCTCTTTCTCACTAATTTGAATAGTTGAACTGCATATGTCAAAGGAAAATGGATCACGAATCCTACCAAGATCGTTTTCAGGAAAATCCTCGAATCCTCTCGAAAAAATTTTCTTTAACTTGTCAATGTGATTGGAAATGTTGTTTTTAAATGTAAATATATCTATATTATTTTCCTTGATAAAATCGTTAAAGCTAGGGAATATGTCGGTGTTGTTTTTATTCAGTTCAGTTTGCCAGAGACTAAGCTAATTCTTAAAAGCTTGAATTTTACTGGCTGCAGTTATGATAGTTGAATTCTCACTCTGCAAGCTCAAATTTAAGTCGTTAAGTTTTTCGAAAATATCAACTAAATAGTTCAGCTTCCCTAGCCAAACTTCATTGATATAATAAATTACCAATCTATGTTTCTTTTCGATTAAAAACATGTGCACTTCATTTCTCAAATCAAATATCCGTCGTAGTATTTTCCCACGTGAAAGCCATCTGACTTCGGTGTGTAACAGTAATCTCTCATACGTTGAGCCCATCTCATTGCAAAGTATTGAAAAGAGACGGCTGTTGTGGCTCTTGCATTTAATGTAGTTAATTGAACTAACAACGTCTTGTAATACGTTGTGCAACTCTTCATCCAAATCTTTTGCAACAAGAGCTTGCCGATGAATCATACAGTGATTAAATACCATATGAAGCGCCACCTTCTGAATTAAGCCTCTCAGCCCTTTATTCGAACCTGTTAATGCTGCAGCACCATCAGTACAAACCGCAACACAGTTTGCCCAGGTAAGGGACTTTGTTTCAAAATATTCATTTAATACTTCGAATATTTTTTCTCCAGTTGTTTTTCCTTCCAAACTCTTGCAACATAAAAACGTTTCTGTTATATCTTCATTAAAAATAAACCTAACGTAAATAATTAGTTGTGACATTTTAGTAATATCGGTAATCTCGTCCAGTTGTAAAGCAAATGCAGATGAATTTTGTATGCTTTTTATGACTTCTGACTCGATATTTCGTGACATTTCGGAAATCCGCCGAGACACGGTATCTCTTGATAATGGTATTGTTTTTAGTTCGTTTCCATATTTATTGCCATGCATAATTGATGTCATCTTAGTTGCTGCAGGAAGGATAAGGGATTCTCCTATTGTATGGGGTTTCATTGTTTTTCCTATTAGATAAGAAACTTCTAAAGAAGCTCGTAATGCTTTCTGAGGTATTGCTGTAAATTTCTTTAAATGTGCACTTTGAATTTTCAGATTTTCAGCTCGTCTTTGAAAATCGGCATGTTTATTTTGAAGTTCTTTGTGTTTAGTTTCCAGGTGCCTTTTTAATTTAGCTGGTTTCATGCTCCCATTTGCTAATTTTTCGTTGCAAATATCGGGCGTTCTTCATCATCAATAACACAAAATGTAAAACCATACTTAATAAATTCCTCATTGTATTTTCTTATTTTTTTAGATCGGGCATATAGTTCAGTATTTTGCGACTCCTCATCAGTATTTGTTCGTTTGTTAGCTGAAGATGTAACTGGTGTACCTATTACCCATTTATCCATTATGAAGATAGGGGTTAAATTATTTAAACTAAAACAAAAAATATATAAAATTTTATCATTTTCTTCGAGAAATTCAATAAAATTAGCAGAGATCTTTCTCTAATGATAGTATATACCTGATAACAAAGAGTAGCAAAACCGGATAAAAATATAAAAACTCAAAATTACACTGTGTGGTTAAGTATTACTTTAATACTTATTAAATAAATGAGCAAGATCTAGCATCTCGCAAACGCATTTAATGACAACCTAACGAGATAAACAAGCACAAACTGAAACTAAACATAAATGCAAACTGAAACTAAAACTAAGCAGTTAATACACAGTCACAGTTAATCTGTCTGATGCCACATACACAACGTCACATGATAAAACTCGAGGATAAACTAAAACAATTGCAGGCCGACTGCTACATGCTTCAACTTCATGCGAACACTTCACATCTTCACTCTGACTATCAGATACACCGCGTACCTCGCCATCTAATTGGCTGATCACGGAAGCGAATTTTTGCCTTTTCCCTGCGGTTAACGTCTAGTCAAATAGGCGCTTTTCAGTAAAACTGACGTCCCGCAGTGGACTGATTGTTAAGACATGGTTCCCAGCAGATCACCGAAGTAAAGCATCACTGGCTGCGGTCAGTGTGCGGGTGGGTGACCACTTGGATCAGTCTGCGTGGGGACCGAGGGTGCGCGGTATTGGTCCTCGTTAAACTGTTCTACCGTAAAGTGCTCGACTTCGCGTGCAGGTCGTCGGGCAACCAAAGCGGGGGTGCCATCCCTTCTGCACAGGATCAAAATTGTGATGGCATGTTTCCGGATCATCCTCAAGGATGTTTCCCAGACCGTCGCCAATAGCCCATTGTGCAGCTCTAGTGTGACGTAAATGAACTACAACAACAACAGTAAAACTGGCGAATTACCGCGAAGAGGGAGCTATCTACAGGAGAGAAAAACTTGCGTCTTCACACTTTACATACATTACGCATTGCGGTCAAGAAAGAGTGGACAGCATGAAAATGCAATTAAACAGTCAGTGACGGCGCTTCACTCTTTATATGTTCACTGTATGGTATGCAGCATGCAGGGATAATGCATTTCATAAAAATTTGGCCACCCCCAAAAAACTTCTGGTGACCCCCACAGGGGTCGCGACCCCTAGTTTTCGCACCACTGATCTAAAGCACAAGTAGGGAAGGAAATTGCACAAATTGTTTTTTTCCCCTCTATCTTGCACTAAATAGAAAAAAGCAGGAGAAAACACCCTGAAGGCCTGAGGGCGAAGATTTGAGGCAAAAGCAGGCAGGGCTAAGGAGAATAGAAGGGCTGGTTCACTCCTTTGAAGTATCTCTCGCCGCGCCGATCCTCCGACGTCACTTTGGCGCAAAGCTCGCACTTTTACTTCAAGAACGGAGCGTTTGGCCTTACTTGCTCTAACTAATATTGAATCATTTCTTTTTGCGAGATATTCTAAGACATTTGTTATTTTCTATAATGACTTTCCTCAGTTTTTGCAGTGAATTTACAAGAATTTAAAACTATTATCGAAATGCCAGTTTGCGCGATTGCAACTTGCAAAAATTCTGATATAAAAACAAAAGGAAAAAGTATAATTTTTCGCGTGTTCCCTAAAGTAAATGAACAACTATGTAAAGAATGGATTCCGAAATGACACAGTTAATATANTTATTTCAAAATGATTTAAAAAACACTATTTATAAGTAGATTTTAATGGTTTAAAGAAGTTTAGTTAATTGTGCAAAAATGGTTACAGAAGCTTATTTTAAAGTTAAAACACGCAAAACAAATTTTCTTTGAATATTCCCAAATTATTTTTCTAGTCAAAAGCAGGAAGTAAATTTTAAACAGTCACATTTCTCTCTGGTTTAATACATTCAAAATTCCATCAAAATTAGGTGTTTTCACTGAATTTAAGATAGAATTCTTGTTCATTTTTTTTTTGCATTTCCT